ACAGAGAGGCCTCAGAGCTGTCTCAGCTGTGCACAAAAGAAACTTCCCTGGGTCTGTGAGTCTGTAGCATGGAATAGGAACTCATTTCTGTAATTTCTTATTTCTTTATTTCACTATGCTTGTTCTTAAACGTTATTCTAAAATTATAGCCCTAACAAAATTCTTCTGAAAGCATATTCATCTTAAGATGCTTTTTGAAGGAGTACATTTTGGAGGGAGTCACATCCACTTGCTGACCTTCATAGTAACTATTGCGTGTTCAACAGAAAGAGATAATTTCTTATGTCCAGCAAAGAGATAAAGAAATCACATTAAAAAAACAGACTCAAAGTACTTCAACAATATTACAGTGCCCCAGTGAAAGGCTTGTAAAAGAAAACCTTGACATCTCTTCCATAGATCAATGATGTACTGCACTTTCATTAAAGTCTGTAGTACTATCCAAGTGGGTGACAAGAAGATATGCATAAAAATTCAAAGCAACTCCACTGCTTCAATGCTAATACTTAATGTTTTAACAGAGCAAGATGTTAAAAGCAAAGCAACACTTACATTAGAAATTGCATTTAGACAAACTTTACTACTGTGTACATTACCCATTCTATTACGACTTACTGTCAATACAGCAATATAAGATTAATTAACAATCAACCCAGGGATGATTTTCTGAAAAAACTGTGAATACAGTCTTCACTGTTTGTCTGGGAAGAGGACTGTTATGTTTCACGGTTTAACCTTTTGTTCATCACAGCATGTCACTAATAGTAAAGGTTAAATAGTATTTATTGAATAAATTCAGCATGGGGGAGAATAGAGACTGCACAGGAGGGCAGTTCATATGTCCAGTACTGATGGATAAGGGAAGCTGATTGCCCAAATATTAAAAAGACTTTGATTTAAGCAGTTGGAGACAGCTAGTCCAACTTTAAATACGAATGGTGATCATTTTCATGCAACATTCCCTCCTTTTTTGCCAATGAATTCTCTGTCCTCATAAAGTTGGTACTTACAAATTACATTCTATGAATGAAAAAGTTAGATATTGAAAACACCTGACCTGCCAGAAACTACTGACCAAACTATAACCCTTGTATTTAAGAAACCACAAACATCTTCTGCACAGTAAAGTCTGTTTCTACCTATCTGTTGAACATATCATGTTTAAAATATTTGTATTGCTGTCTAAACCTGTGTTATATAGAGATAAGACTAACAAATAGACCCATATGATAAGCTCAGCTGCAGGAAATAAATAGAGATGCTCTTTGTTTTCAGATATTTATGCGACGCACAAATGAAAGACAGCATTGTTTGAAGTAAATACAGACAAAAAAAAAAACTTATTTCTATACAAAAGTCAGTGTATTAGGTATTTCTGAAACTAGAAATTCTATATTGGTCAATTCCATCTTCATGGCAAGCGAGCTTCCACAACTACATTCCAAAATTTTATGAAAAAAAAAAAAAAAAAGAAACATTGCCCAAATATTATCCCCCAAAAGTATCTTCTTACTAGCTTCAACCTAATAGCCAAGCTTAAGTTTCCAAAGAGTTATAACAGAAGAGGAACCAAATTTGATAGTACAAGGGTGAATAGTTTTAAACTGGTAGATTTGGATATAGACAAAATATAAGCAATAAATTCCTCACTATCCCAGGGCAGTGAGGCAGTGGCACAGGCTGCCCAGAGAAGCTGTGGATGCTCCATCCATGGCAGTATTCAATGCCAGATTGGACAGGGACCCAGCAGCTGACCTGGTGGGTGGAATCATCCCAAAGCAGAGGGTTGGGACTGGATGGCAGTCAACATCCCTTCCAACCCAAGCCATTCTATGATTCTATGAGATGGAAAAGTAATGGATTTAGTCAGAGGGGAGTATCCTGAGGAGTTACAGAATCAACTGCAAATGAGAAAAATAAGAACTTTTCCAGTTGCTGTTGTCATTCCCCCAAGTCTTAATTCCACTATCTGCACCTCCCTACTACGCAAGTAATTTGGCTCTTCTATCTAACAGTCCCCAGGCTTTCATGCCAGAAATGGACTTGTGCGTGTGTCTGTGGAAAGCAACCTGCTGAGCTCAGCCCTTCCAGAACTTGTATGAAGTTTCCTTTAAAAAAAACATATAATAATAATATGTTTTTAATTCTTTGTTTTTAAATCCTGTTTGATAAGATTAGCTCTGTTCTTCATGTCCTTTTGAAGTCCTAAACTTAGGCGACTTACTCAAGAGAAGCTAAAAGATACATTAACTGGTTGTAATCTACTAAAGCTAAATTAAAACTCTCACATTAGTTTATAAACTGCAAACAGATTTTTGTTCAATATCTACATTATGTCAGCTGCTCCCAAACTAGCATGACTTTAAACACTAATAGATTCCAAAGAAAATAAGAAACAAAAGATCAAAATACAGCAAGATTTTGAAACAAACACAAAACAGTGTTTTTAAGTATTTTCAAGTCATAAAAAAGCAAAACCTCAGCTCAATTGTGGGTGTCCAGAGACAGTTATAATGGATTTCAATCTGCTGCTTTGGGAATTGTCCTGATTTTTATTTCATTTTCCCAAAAGTTTTAGTGTAAGAAATAAAAATATGGCCTATTTGGAAACATTTAATGAGCTATTCAGCCAAATACCCAAATCCAGTTTCTTATTTCCTTGACCACGGCCTTCATAGCATAAAATAACTGTATGAAGGGTGCACAACACAGAATCCACTCTCCAACACTTACATGTTCAAGCATCAATCCTAAATGCATGCTTACCTTGAAGATGAAAATTAAATACAAAATAAGGATTGGGGTATGAGCTACTGTTTTCTTACAAGCCAGATGTGGTTTCTCAGTTTACATACACTGTATCCTCTAAGTGTATATACTAACGCCAGCAAATAACACCGTGCTGTTTACTACATTGTTAGAATGACTTCCTGTTCCCTAAGTCCTTCCCTCTTTCTCTTCCTTTCTGCCCATGAGATCAATCTCCATTCACACAGAAGGAGTTGTGCCAAAGAGCAGAGATCTGTGCAGAAATACGCAGGAGATGATGGCTGGCGATAGCAGTACACATGCATCCAAGTTACTACACAAAAGGAAAAGGAATGACTTGCAGCGCTATAAAGCTGAGAACTCACACCAGAAACATGTACTGAAGTAGCTGCTGAGAAAAGCAGCCTCGGAACCTGTGATCATCACTAGGCAACTTCTGCCTCTCCTGTTTTCAGTACAAAGAGCATGACCAAGGTGCTTGCCATGCCCCTTAATGCCATGCCTTTGGTTCCTTTAACTAGTACAGAGGCCTGTGCTAGTTAAAACCCGAGGCATTTCTAACTCAACTGAAAACAAAGAATCTGGTTTGATCAAAAGTAATTCCAGAGCTTCACAGAATGAAGCCATTGTTTCTCTGACTCACTCTATTTTAGTCATTAATTTTTCCCCCTACGGCCATGTGGAAGCTGGATTGCACCAGCACTTCACTGTCAGTGTTACAAAACAGCAGCAGCAAAAAATGACCATCTCAACTGCACAACAAAATCAGAGAGATCAGAAATAGAGAAAAGCAACACACTGGACTCAGGTTTAGAATGCTGCACCTGGGTAGCTGCAGTCTGGACCTCATTTGAGTTGTATTACAATTGGCAGTTGTGTTCTTAGACTATGATCATCAGATACTTTCAGGTTTTTACTTGGTATCTATGAAACTATTGTCAAAACAATTTTTGCACTAAATATACTGGCATATGCATATAAAAACATAAAGGAAAACTTTATGTGCATTTTATCTTTTCTAAGTACAGTTTAAAAATATACATATTGTACATTATTTAAAAATTATTTTAAAAGCAAGTAATTTTAACAAAAAATACTTGATATCTTTATCAATCTTTATTCTATATTTTATATCTTTATCATTTTTTTTATTGGGCTTGGGTATTAATTAAGAGGTGATATAGATCAGCCTACACAGAGTCAGAAGAGTTCTCAAAGGGTTTGCTCCTGGAGTACCTGGCAGAATGAGCAATACCCACACTTCACTCCTTACAAACCTTTGTCCAGCACATTCACAAAGACCTCCATCACAGAAATGCTAGAAGTTTCCCAGTAAGTGTGATCTACCCTTCTTTACATCCTTGCCATAAGAAATTTTTTTCTAATAGCCAAAATCACATTTCCCTTGCCAATTTAAATCCCTTTCTTCTAATCTACTTCACTGCAGAAATAAAGAACAGTTCTCTCTTTAGCACTCATAAGTATCTGGAGATTATGTCTGCCTTCATCCTGCAGTCTTCTCTTCAGACTAAACAACCCAAATTCATTCAAACTTCCCTCAGAGGTAACATTTTAAAACTTCCCAAGGATAATCACTGCTGCCCTCTGTTTCTCTCCAAATTATTCACTTTTTTTTCTACAAAGCAATGCAAAAAATCTAAATTAAGTTTCCCAGCCGAGGCCCCACTAATGCTGAGAAGGATGGAAGGATCCTCTCTGTGTTGGCTGTATGTCTGAGGCAAGCATGTGAATTTTTCACAAGTGGACAAGCAAACAGTTAAGCAGCTTCCAGCTTGTCTTCAGTAATTTCAGTCTAACATCTGAATACGACTGGTGTCCAATATCTGTTTCAGACATCTACGTTTTGGTAAGAGAACGTGCTACCTAGGAGCAACTAGACGCTTCTGCTAACCACTCCACTGAGCACTGCTCTCTCTGATGTGAATTCTTCTCACCTTCATCTTACACGATGGAAATGGAAATGCTCCAAAACTTAAATAAGCTGTCAATGCTATACATATGACCTACAACACTCTATACATTCCTGTCTGTTTATGGCACTCACCTGATTAACTGTGATGGGGCTTTTTTAAAAAAGTATATATTAATGTAAAAGCATACACACAAAAGCCATAATGTTCCAAGAACTTCACCCCAATTACATTGCTTTATGCTGCTTACTCTAATGTTTACCTTTAAGTACATAAAATCTGAATATTACTAATGCTTACCTTTCTGTGTTCAATTGAAGGCTGTGGGATGACAAACTGAAATCCCAGCACTGCTAATGAACTGAGAAGTCTGAAAAAGCAAACAGGGAAACAGAATACATCATTACCACTAATCCAAATTACCTAAAGCCTAATACAGGACTTGACACTGCAAGAACTTACATACACACTTGAATATCATTACTAAGCAAAAGAGACTCAATAAACTGTGTGAAATATTCTTTTAACATTCTCTTCACTAGACTGCAGGCAGCAGTAGGTACATACATATGTTTGTCTACCTATATAGCAAAAGTTCACCAAGAAGAATCCATTAACAGTATTTCACATAATGTTATGTTTAAATAATTTTTTTTTAAGTACATACTTTCGCACCACAGCACTTGGTGTCAAAATTGAGATACGCTTCATGAGTTTAAATAAGAGTTCAGCCATCTGTGGACTGAGTCTGTTTCTAACCGTGGCTCCTCATTTTGCAGATAAACACCACCTCCAGCACAGGAAACATGTAAAGAACCTCCATGATTTTGTAGAACATAGGTTCCTTCCCAGCTGCCTAACACTTGTTAAAATTGAATAGCCTAATGGGCAAAAAAGATGGAAAGTAGCGGACACAGCTCACTGGAGACTCAGGATAAGCAGCCAAACATCACCCCAGTCCCCACATCTTCAATCTGAAAGGAGTCATAATGGGAACCAAGCCCAAACAAACTTTGCTCTGTCAAGCCTCACCACCATAACGACTCCGCAGAGCCCACTGCAAGTTGGGTTCAGTTAGCTCAGTCTTTTGTTTGCTAAGTTTGAGCTGAGCACTGGTTTCCCTCCTTCCAGCAAGTCCTTCATTGGAAATACAGAAAGGTAAGAGAGAGTGAGAATTAAGTTATCTTCACCTCTACCCGGAGTTTGAGTTCTCAGTTTACAAAGAGAATCCTTTGGACCCTCCATGGAGGAAAAAGCTGCTGAATTTCAATGCAGAAATAAAACTGATGGATTTGGACACAAAATCCATCTGCAGACTAATGGACCAGACAAAATCCAGCTGTGCTTCCTCCTCACAGTCCCTTCCTTTGCTCGCTATGCAGTAATCCTTTAAACATTTCACATTGTTTCAGGTATTTTCAAAGACAGACCTACTACGCAAAACCAGCTTTTTATACTAAGCATTTCATTTGTACAAATACGTACATTCTTCTACCTGGGAGAATGTTTTTCTTGAGTTTTCTGTTTGCTAGAGTTCTTGGTAACAAACTGCAAAAGGAACTGTTAAGTAAGTATTGATTGCATATGGCCTTTCATCACTTCATCACCATAGTCTATGCTGCTCTCAAAGAAAAAAAAACATTTAAAGGAAAAAAAAAAATCATTCCTTACTGCCACATAAATTTAGAAGAAAAAAAAGGAAAACAACTTAAAGGCCCATTAAAATGCAGTATTTCATTATATGTAGCTATCATTTGTGATAAAGCCAAAGGAGGCAGGTAAAAGGCAAGACACTGTAAAGAAACTACAGTAAGAGCCCAGACACATGGCTTGGAGCAAGGCTGAATAAGGCAGTAGTGGACAGAAGGAGGGCATACAAATGAAGAAGCTGATTTGTTAAACACACCTGAAACCAAAGGTAGAAGTAGAACAGAACTCAGACCTCCAAACTACAAAACAACAACACCATGTCTGTCTTTAGTTGATGTGCACGTTTACTTTCCAAATGCTCCATCTCCTAACTGTTCTCAAAATTGACAAGTACTCACATGGAGGGACTGAGCAGGCAGAGCTCAGCGGCTGACAGGCCCAGCTGACTGATGGCTGCTTCACTTGGGTTTCTGAGTAAGAACCTTGCTCATAGAGCCCATGCTCTCACAGTGATGATGCTATTTGTAGACAAGCAGCTAGTTCAAGACACAGTCAGGGATCTACACAAGTTGTACAGCATTATCTCTAAGAGCAAACATGCTCACTTTCTTTTACTGGCAATACCAATTTCTTTTTAGCTGGAAGGGGAAAAGTTATACTAGCTCTAATTCCTGATGTGGAATCTTTCCTGGAATATTAGGAGGGTACCAGAACTCAAAGACTGGCGTCTGAAATTCACAAGGAACTTTGGATCGGAGGTGTAAATGACAGTATCTCTGTACAAACAAAAGAGTATGTGGTTCAGCTGTCATTCTGAGCAGGAATTGCTGTTCCTGTAGCCTCACAGCTGCCTGCTTCCTCCTAACATGCTTGCCCAACTATGGAAGGAACTGAATAGATCAGCTTAATAAAAGCTGAGTGTTCCCCTTGTCAGGAAAACTGCTCGAAAGGTATTTCCCACATTACCCATTGGCAAGCTGTTTCTGGAATGATTAATATGAACCTCAGACTGAGTGGCAGCATAGGTACCAAAACATGCAAATCTATTATTTAAAACCAGTGACTGTGATGACACAGCGTCATCAACCAAAAAAAAAGAAGGAACCTTCCAGTAAAGTATCCTAAAAAATGGCACATACCAACAGACACTCTAAGCAGAAACAAATACTGAGAGCTTTTTTTTTTTCTTACCATCACCAAAGAATACCATGCCTGGAATGCATGTGCTTGATTATTTATTCTTTGGACAGAATTTTTATTTATTCTCCTATTATTCAAACACTTATAATACAGAAGTAAGAGACGGTTGAACTGGTATGTTAAATTGGTATTTTCTGCAGCTTGTTAAGAACATATTAAATCAGACTTGAAATGTTTTGCTGCATCACTTACCTCAAAGAAACTATTAAACTGTCTACCATGATCCTTCAATGCAAAGTGTCTTGAAGCGAAAAATATTCTTCACTGTAGTAAAGCACAACGCAGGTCAAACAAATCCTACAGAAATAGACAGAAAACATTTAACACTGCTTATTCAGTATATTTCTGGATGTTTAGAAACTGGATACAGACAGACATCAATCATCTCTACCTGAATTCAGGAGCTTTATTGCCATTCAAACTGTAAATCCAGTGTAACTTACACGGATGGACTGGGCATGCCCCATTTTTGGGGACTGGACTTCAACACTGCTTTGCTGAAAAACCATGGAATGCAAAATCTTGATCTGATTGCCATGGGAACAAAACTGATGTTTAACTTCCATTCTCATCTCCACATCTCTGATAAGTCAGTTGTATGACGTTATGCCTTTTTTTTTTTTTTTTGCCACCAAACTGAGGATTTTATTTATTTATTTGAATTGAAAGTAGCTTTGTTCAAAGACTTGTGCTCATGTCAGTCATAGAAATGATGTTAGGCAAGTCTATACATACAGTGCTAATGCAAAGCACCTGAGAGATCCCTTCAGATACTACTTACTAACAGATATTCTGGATTATGAACAAGACATGCCTCAATTCCTGCAATCCGACTCTTAGTTATCAGACATACTGAGGCAATACTCTTTACATCACTTGTTGAAAATTGAGGATATGCATGTGATGCAGACTGTCACTAACACAACTTCAAGTTCTCAGTATTCTGTTTTTTCCAGACGTACTCTTTGTTTCTGCTTTTTCATTCTGCAATAATCTTTTCAGCCCACATCCTTGAATAGAGACTCAATCCCAATAGGATATTGTTATGTGATACAAACTCAGAGAACAAATGTACACGCTCCTAATACACTTTGTGAATTACATTTCATTTGAAAAGCAGAAAACATTTTGTTGTCAGTCTAGTTTTGCTAAGAGGTTGGGGGGAAAAAAAAGAAAAAATGAAAATAAATAAAGAATCGTTTTCCCTCCAGAACATCCAGGGCAAAAAGAATACCTGAAATGGCTGGACAGTTAACACTAGCATTGAATAACACCAATTTTGGCATGAAAGTTTTCAAGAGCCTGATGAGGTGTAAAATGTGTTACTCACTGCAATACATCAAGTCACCTTCCCACAAGGAGCTCTAAAGCACTATAAATCTATCTAGAAAAAGACAATATTTACAGCAAAATAGATCATATCATTTTGGCTGGAACAAACCACACTCCTGTACTCAAGCAGTTAGCAAGACTTTCTCCACCACATTAAAATATCCTACACTTCAGCAAACTTCACTGCTTCACCCCAAAGTAGAATAAAACCAAACGTGTGAAACTGGGTAGAAAAAAAAACAGCAGCACACAGGATGGAGCAAATTCATACCTCCTCCCCAGCCAAATGAAGAGGCTGTTCACTGCATGTAATAAAATATGCATCAAGTCACAGAAAAGGAGATAGAGCAAACAGACCCTAAGTCATGCCTCCTCCCCTTTCACACTGTAGGTGAGTGATTCTAATGCCTTCTAACCGCTACCAGTCTCAGAACTTCCACTCTCAAGTCATGAACTAATCATCAGAATCTCTCCTCTTGATATTTACTGACATTTGCTCCGGCATTCTCAACATGACCTGCAGAGTGTTTTCAATTATCTCAGCCTCACGTGCTGCTAGTAGTCAGACACCACAGCCCATGGTCAGCAGAGATCAGACAGGTGTCTAGATTAAATTAGAAAATGAAAGCACTAATTTGCAATGGGGATTTTCCAAAAAGGGGCAGAGATGGACAATGACAGCAACTTCAAAGAAAGGAATCTAGTAGGCATATAGACAATCTCAGAAGTTTGCTGAGATGGATACAACTATATGTCTCAAAGTAATAAATGATGCAATACACGGAATTACCAGGACAGACATCACGGACACTGTACAGGAAGTTAAGTGGGAGACTTCCCCCTTGACTAAGTAACTTTAAAAATGTCTTCCCATGAGGTGATCTCATGGGAACAAGGGTAAATGGTTTTAAGTTGAGGGAAGGAAGATTTAGGTTGGATGTCAGAAGGAAGTTCTTTACTACGAGTGGTGAGGTGCTGGAACAGGGAGGCTGTGGATGCCCCATCCCTAGAGGTGTTCAAGGCCAGGTTGGATGGGGCCCGGGGCAGCCTGGTCTAGTATTAACTATGGATGTTGGTGGCCCTGGATGTGGCAGGAGGGTTGGAGATGCATGACCCTTGAGGTCCCTTCCAACCCAGGCCATTCTGTGATCTAAAAATTTGCTAAAAGACTAATGATTTAGTTACCTTAACAGCTCAAACATCACAGGACTACTCATACATAACTTTTCATGTGACTTTACCCTTTGTGCATCAAGTGGGTGATACTTCACAAATTTCAATGTGATTTTTGCATCAACCTGTACTTCACCTAAGTCCTGTTATTCACTTATATCCATATCCACCTGTGCACAAACTGTAACAGAAAGTTCTTAGTAAGTCCATGTGGTATGCAGTCCATATGTACTGCAACAACCAAAGGCCATCTATACTAACTCACAGCAATGATGTGAGATACATCATGTACAAACACACATAAAACTCAGTTTGGCTCCAAATTGCTCTAACCCTATTTTATCTTGTTGACTTAGATGTATGGCAAGTCAAGTTAAATTTCCTTCAACATTTGTCTTCCTGGTTTGATTACGTAGCTTGCCAGCTACTGTCAACAGCAACTTGAAGTAGCTATGAAATGGGAACATCATTTCAAAGCCATTTCCACTTATGCACAAAGTTCTCTTTGTGTTCTTTAGAAAACAAAAACATTAGCAAACAACATTTAAATTTAAATACTTAAATTTAAAAAGTACATACTCTTCAAGATTGCCTTTGAATCTATTCCCTTGTGCAATGGCAAGGCATGGAGTATTTATTAGTTTAGTTGTTCACGTCTATTAAATTATGTTGAATGCAAATCCTTGAGATTGCATCCAAAAGTCACTACATTCACAACGCTTTGATAAAGCACCTCACAGTACACCAAATCTATCAAGCTCCACAATTTGAGTGTACACTCAACAGCTCATACCATATCTGTTGAGATCTACCACCAGAGTTTTAATCTCCTCAAGAATTCATTAATTACATTAAAACATACAGTACAACCTTGAAAGTAGAGGGAGAGCCCATGAAAAACAGGCACTCATTTTACAGATTGTGAATCACAGTCATATGACAAGACTGGTTTATTCACTATTTCTCTAGATTCCATTTTTTTTTAAATCTTTTTTATACCATTGGTTATGAAGAATTAATTTAATACCAGCTGAACAGATATTAGTAATAAAAAACATAAAAGTGAAAATATTATTATAATGAACCTGATTTAAAAAACACTTAAAACTTCTTATACACAATAATAACCTAACTAAGCATACATTTCACATTGTAGTAATAGTAATACTGTATGGCAACTGCTGAGTCACGGCCTGAACCTCTGATTGATCACCTGAGGTGAGCCATGAGTCAGCCAGAGGAGCACAGGTGAAGGCAATTCACCTGTGCTACCGGAAGGGGTGGAGCCAGGCTCCACCCCTCCTGGACCTATTTAAGAGCTGGCTACCAGAGGGGAAGGATCTCTTCTGGAGATCCTCCTCTTTGATATCTTCTAGTGAGCTCAACCCAAGGGTAAGCTCTTCTACTTATTCTCTTTTGTGATCCCTGTTTGCTTTGCCTTACTCTTTTGATTATATTGCAATTATAACATCTTGGTTATACACTTTGCCTTACTCTTTGATTATATTGCAATTATAACATCTTGGTTATACAAATACACTGTGTATTTTAGCAGCTATTTTGTAGAAATGCAATCAAGTACGAATTGCGTACACAATTATTGTGCAGGTAGAAGATACTTCCCTTCTGTAATGATGAACATTATTTTCTAGCCAACTAACTAATGAGAATACTTGCCTGGCATTACACAAGCCATATATTCAAATGTTTAACAGCTGACCATGAGAATGAGCTTTCATGCTGTTCCATAAATGTTTCAAACATGTGCCCAAGCATTAATATCCTCTGCAGTGAAAAAGAGGAAACTAAATTTAGGAGGCTGTACTTCACAGTATAGTTTCGTTGGACTGAGTATTGGGCAACATTTAACAGCACACACAGGCGAAGATCAAACGTTCCTCCCTGTTTCACCCTTTGAAATCTTTCATTTACTAGTAAACAGACGTATCATTAACCTACCACAATTAACTCTCCATGTGACTCCAACACAAATAAAAGACCCAATGCCAAACTACCCATTCTCTAGGGCTGATTCACACAAACAGGACAATAGAATCAGCAGTGCTCTGAAATATTTCCAACAAAGTCAAAGTTCTGAACTGCACAGCCATGATTCTCAGATGAAATTAAATAGCAGCTGGATGCTTAAACCTACCACTGTCCTCATGGAAAACCATTTGGTGTTCCCATCAAGATACTACAGAAACACACACAATAGCAAAATAGTAACTTTCAAAAAGTTCCTTCCCTCTTCTTAGAAGACTTCTCTTCTGTTTGGGGCATCAGTGTTAGCACATAACAAGAAGAGAATGTGATGGAGACCTGAAATCTTTGCTTGCTTATTCAGAAAAAAATATTTTCTTCAGAGTTTCAGTGGAGGAACCACGACTTTGCAGAAGCAACGCTCCAAAGAACAGTGCTTTCTGGAAACACTTGTACTTTGTTCCAAAGCAGACGAGTGATGAGGCTGTGTTGTAGAGGGATGCTTCAGTAATCGCATCAAATCACGTTTCAAGCTTGCTAGCCAGCTTCTAATAGAATCATCCTAGTGGAAGAGAGCACCATAGATCATCTAAGTGATCACAGTGAGCATAGCCTTCTAAAACTGTCTACATGTTTCTCTTCTGGGTAGTTAGTTATTGATATTTGTTACTGATATAAGTCACTGATGCTTAACTTTCTACTGTAAAACCTTATGCAGCAGAACAGACACTAACTGGAACATACATCCATAAATATAACATTGGCATCCACTGAGATTCCCATTAAAATCCTTGGGGTTCAATTCTACA